CAACGCACAAGAAAAATAATTCGTGGAGGCAGGAGAAACAGTGACAGCTCGGACAGCGAGACAAGACTCCAATCAAAGGTTAAATGGCAACTGCAACCGAAGCAACAAAAAGAAGCGGACAGCAGACTTCTTTCGTTCTGGCAATTGATCGGGGGAGAATCAACCACTACGAAAAACATCATTCGGGAACTAGTGGCAACATCGGAAGAAACTGATAAATATCCGGAAGAAACCGATCAAGGACCGATTAGCATCACACCGGCTAATCCGAACGAAAAAAAATTGAGCGATGTTTAAGTAATCCAGGTAGATCTGACAACCACAGAAGACATGGAGAGCAACCAGGAGGTGTGCGCGATAGAACCGCGCAAAAAGTCCAATAAACAGAAGGAACAGAAGCTGCAGAAACAGCAAACGGAGGAGTCATTGGACAATCTCTCCAAATAGTTTGAGAAAAGTCTCCTGGCAGAATTGACTTCCAAAGACACATGGATGGACCGCCTCAGACAAGTCATAGAAAGAGGAGACAAAGAGGGCTTCGAGCTGATGGGACCGTATACGAATCCATTGTGGTCGCAGATGGCGGTGCAGGACGATTGCATTCTGGTGATCAACAGACTGGCAGTACCTCTTCAACTGAGACAAGCTGTACTCAAACGAACTCATCGGTGACATCCGGGTCAAGTGGCTATGCTAGGGTTGTCACAATACCTGTGGTGGCCGCATACACACAAGAATATAGTGAGCCTCGCGGAAGAGTGTCGTAGTTGCACCAGATATGGTAAGAACGTAAAATATTTTATTCCAAAAAATGCGTCAAAACCACTGCCACTGCTCACGCAACCGGGCCAAGAATTACAATTAGACTACGCGCGACCGTTAAAAAACACCGAGGAAAAAAGATCTACCTTCTAGTAGCTATAGATAGAATCTCGAAATTTTCATCGGTAAGGGTCACTAAATCAACAAGTGGAAAGTGTACGGTAAACTCTTGAGATCGTATATAGACACACATGGCATTCCGGAACCAATACGATCTGACCAATTTTCAGGATTTAAGGGGAAAACACTCAAAAAATTTTGCACTGAACTAAATATCGAACAAAAATTCTGTCCGGTGGGTGATTATCGGGGTTGCGGTCTAGTAGAAAGAACAATACAAACCATAAAAAGAAGATTGGGGGTAATATTGTTAGAAGAAAAAATCGATCGATCAAACTATCTCTTAGTACCATAATGCAAGACTTACGGTGGAACAAGCAGAAAACTATTCAAGTATCTCCTTTCCAGGCACATTTCGGCAGACTTCCAAAAAACTAATTTAATTCTCACGCGATAAATTTATAAACATCTGACTATTTAGACAAACAGCATCTGAAACGATCGGCGCTAACGTCATCACAACTAAAGCGAAGAATTGACCAATCTCGGGAGAATCTGAAGACAGTCAGAAAGGGGGAACTCAGCAGGGACACCAGCCCAATGCACATACAGCAAGTACACTCAGACAGAGATCGTCAGAGAGCAAAAGCTCTCAAGGAACCGCTGGAAGCGAACGCTCACTGGAACGAGGACACAAGAGACGCAGCGAAAAACGAAATACGGCGGATTATCGATGAAACAGGTTTATCTAACCAAAAACTGCGAAAGGAGATGATATACTCCTGGGAGAAGGGGTTCATAGAGGATAGGGAACAGGAAAATACGCAGTGTCCGAAGAAAAAAATTCTGCTAAGGACGAATTACGTAAGAGTGGCCAAGCGCTCACAAAACCGCTAAAGGGGAGAAACGGGGTCGACAGTCAAAACGTCGACAGGATCAATTTACAGGAAATTGGATTTCGCTCAAGCGAAAACTTGCTTACCACAGGAGAAAACTCGGAGCTAAAGCAAAAGTCCATCGGCGGAACCACATAAGAAGCTTCAAAGAATAAGTTCCCCAGAAAATTTAGAGGACATTGATTCGGATGAAGAAATGCGACGGGCCGTGGAACTAGCCGATTTCGTGAACCCGGTGGATCGCTTTCAACAAAGCCAAATTGTCAAAACCTCAAAGGACACGGAAGCTAGAGGGGATCTGAATCTGAACATCAAACGAGCAAAGCCAAATACAGCGGGCCCTAGTTCAATACCTGGACCTAAAACTCAGGAAGAGGTTGCACTAAAGAAGTGTGAGAAAAAGATGAAAGACAAGAAATCAGACGACAAACCGGAAAAATCGCTAAAACAAACTGCTATCGCAGTTGACCAGAACAACAAACAATCAACATCCACTCTGGATACCTCGAAAGAAAACATTCCATCGAGCTCCACTCCAAAAACCAAACAAAAGGCTAAACAAAAGGAGATAGACTCAGAAACCCGACCTGAGGACATCCTCGACACATTTCAAAACCGAAAACTGGCACCTGCGGAGTGGGAGAATTTTGCAGACCAACTTCTCAAAAGGAGGGTCCAAAAGGTGGCGGACGATCTCAGAGGACACGTTCAGCCAGCAACTGAACGGGATACGAGATTTGAGCCTCCTCAGGGGGTTTCAGACGATTCTGGCGCCAAAGAATTGGGAGTACGACGAAGCTCTAGTCAATTTAAGAGTAAAGAGTCAAAACGGTTTGGAGACCCGGTCAAACATTCCATCAAGGAAGTATTGGAGGAGTTGTCAGGGGGAGCATTTCTCAAGGCTGCACTCCAGGAGTACCGAAGAAGACTAACAGACTTCCAAGAACGGGGTGACAGGCCTATAGAGTCCACATTACGACTACTAGAAAGACACTTAGTACGGAGGAAATTCGGCTACGCAACGCTGGACAAAGGAATAAATTGAAATCCTTGCTGGAGAGTCGACCTTGAAAAAAACTAAGGAATTGAATGTCTGAAATTACAAATCTTCCAAATTCGGGAACTCTTTGTGAACTGAGTGTATAAAACTCTTTAAAGAATAAATTATTTCATATATCGAAAAAAAATTTTCCATTTGAGGGGGTATAAAATACTGCTACTGCAATAGCAGTAATTGCATGATGTAATAACAACCTTCAGTGGTATCAATTATTTTTACTATGATGTGACCAAGGTCACGAGTGCAGTGACATTGGTACACAGCTAAGAGCTCAGAGTTTGAATCTGCAGTATCACTCTCAGTGACTAAAATCAGACAACAAGAAAACATTTAATTCAAGCAACAAAGAATACATTCTTGAATTATTACAGTTTTCCAACAAGATACCGTATAGGATATCACAGGCTGCGATGGCTGATTGCGGGGTTTGAGGGCTAGACAAGACATCCAAGCCTGGAAAAAAATTAAATATGTCTTACTCAAGGTCAAACCTTCGGCTTGTATGAACGTCCCCGTATGTTGGTACCTTCCCTCCTGGAAAATTGATGCGGAACAAGTTTTTAGGATGCAAGATATGACCCGGGAAAAAGTTTTGTTTTTTAAATTGCTCTCGGAGTTTTTATCTATTGATTAAATTTATTTTCTAATTCAACCTTCTAATTCAATTTTTGAATTGGTGGTCATTGAGTCAGGGCCAAATAATTATTGTCATGATTGTCATCTGTCAGTAAATTCCCAATTATTTCAAAATGAGAAGATCGCATAAAATCGCCCGCCGTTTTGTCTTCATATTTTTCTCACTTTGTGAGGAGAAAACAAGGCGCTTGGAGGCCCAGGAGAAAACAAGGCGCTTGGAGGCCAATCTTGATCCGTTTTCGTTGCCTGCGGATAGAACCAACAATTATTGGCTCAGAAAAGAACCATGAAAATAATTTTTTTAGGTTTGTAACTGCAGCTTCCTCAATACAGTTCGTACCTCGAGTGGATAAATCAACATAATCTTAAGAACTGAAACATTGTTTATATGAGTTCATTGAGATTTTGGGCTAATTAAAAGCTAATTACTGGCCATCAAGTCATCGCGTTTGCTCCAAGCAAACAGCAAAAAAACCTATAAACCTATAAAAATGTTACTCTTTCTAATAGGTTTGCCATGATACTTTTTGTCGTAACAATCTGTAATGCTTGCACGTCTATCTGCTATTGCACATTAAGTTTGTTCTCTTTGCTTGAAAACAATTCTGGTTGGACAGCTCAAAGCCGTTAAATATAATGTTTTCCAGTCATAAATAGTTAATACGGCTTCAAATTTTTGTTGCCTTCGAACATCTTTTAATGCACATTTTCATTTTTGTTCTAACAATTCACGAAATGATTAGAAGGAACGATGACGAAGGCTTTTCCGCCTAATTTTAGGTACTTAAAGTAAACTTGCATAGGGTCAAGTGTGATGTCAAAACAGAGTCCTATTAATTGCGATTCGGATTCAGAATAAATAAAAAAAATGCCTCAGTTAACAAATAAAAAAATTCGTGTGGAAGTTTTCCGAGTTAAGATTTATGAAAGTATGAAATTAAATTTATAAATGATACGATCACAAACTGAACTCTGAGTTCAATTCTAGTGCAATTTTTTTTTACTTTTAAAGGATTTTTAACGTAAATTTTGGATGTTAAAATAACAAGAATTTAGGTGGAAAAAGAAAAAAAATTGAAGAAAAAAATTTCTCGTTTTTTGTTAAAAACGTTTTTCTTACTTTTGAATTGTTGAATTCAATCATTGCGGTCTGAATTTTTGTACTACTTGTGCAGCGTGCTAGTGCTATCTTTGTTTCTTTGGAAATTTGTTTCATTAGTCAAAGATAAGATTATGACTGATAATTGTCCAAAAATTATTTTAGATTTTAAGTATCTAGTTTACGGGTTGATTTGAAGATACTTTCTTTTCTTTGGTGACAAATCAACGAATTTATCCCTCAAATTATTTAATAAATCCATATTTTGTCGCTCCCCAACGCACTTTTGAACCACAAATAAAGCCTATTTTGCACTTGCAATTAGCCAACAATAAAACAGCTGGCTGTCAAATTCTCCGGCAAACTTCGATGTCCGTTTATTTAAGTGCACCCTTGACATCTTTAGAGAAAACGAAACAAATAAGTATTGAAGTCAACCTATCGAATTAAATTTACCAATGGTGACCAATTTAAACTGGACACACCGTTTAAACTGATTACATTCCATTCGGTTCAAATCCTGTATTCTATTCTTAATTGAACCTTAAGACCAACTTGACTTTTATTTTGCAAATTTTTTTGCTTTTCTCTAGCTAACTTTTTTGGAGCTCTTTTTTGTTTATAAAAATTGCAATAGAAACTTAACTGTTTCTTCAAAAATGCCAAAACGTTCGTTTTCATGCTCGATGCAGAGCAATGATGAAGGCCAGTTTTTGATTAACAACTTGAAAGACTCGAAGGATTCAGGCAAACAAACTGGGCCGAGAAAAGGGGCGCAGGAGGGCTCTTGGACCCCAACTTTGTGTCTGTCTGCTTTCAGTGCTGTGATTGGTGCAGCCTTGCCTATGGGATATAACAATGGAGTCCTGAACACGCCTGAGGTAAGTTGCACGTTGTATAACAACTGTAAAAAAAGGATTTTTGTTTCGACCCCTAGCCTTACTAACTGCTGAGACATCTAGTGGTAAGGAATGTCATTCATTTTACCGTAGCTTTTCCCACTTAGAGGAGTCGGATGACATTGGGAACCCGCCGTCCGGAACTGCAGTGAGATTAGAACCACTTGTGTTAAGAGCCATGCACATTACCCACTTCAAATGCAGCAATCAACGCGCGTTGTTTAATTGCCTAACTAAACCAAGAAAAGTTTCTTTTATTGACTACACCAAAAATCTAAGAAGGGGCGGATCTAGAGTTTTCTCGAGGGGGGGGGGCGGATTTTCAAAATATTTTGGAAAATTTTGTCCAACTTTTTTTAGGTCGACCAAAATGATTTTCCGAGCTCTCCCAAAGCACTATAAAGACCGTGTTTTGTCCAAATTTTCCGCGCAGCAGGCGGCAAAACTGTGGAGAAATAGGCCAAAAATAGCGGTTTCAGGCACTTTTTCGAAAATGTTCACCAAAAAACCGCGGTTTTTTGGCGCGCGCTCCTCCCTAAAATTTAGTGTATATTGGCGACAAAGACTCCTTTTGAAAAATTTTTAGGTTCATCAGCTAAAAATGGATAACCCAAAATAGTACAAAAGGGGACCCTTTGGGTTGGCAGGATGTCGAATCTCTGAGGAAAAAAAGACATCCTCCCCATCCCCGCCCCACCCTAAATCCACCCTTGAATCCTGAATCTAGGTACCAAAAACCATCTTTAACCCTCTTAAGCTATTTTTTGTCCATATAACGGAATTTGGGAAACATCGAAGCAAAAAGTGAATCGGAAGAGATCACTGTAATAAATCTAGTATTGAAGGTTTTCTGAAACATATTATGTGATATTGTCACTTGAACAACTATTAGAAATTTTTCTGATCAGAAACATTGTGTTCCTAATGATTATGTTGAATTAATTTGAACTCGTTGAATTTGAAGTGATAAAAGAAAAACTTGAAAAAAGTGAAACATAAAAACTTGAAAAAGAAGTGATAAAAGAGAAAAAATCTGGCAATGCAGCCCCAACACTGGTTCGTTTCCGCCTTTTTGTTTTACTTTTTATTTTGTTTTTTCTATCAAACCTATAAATTTGATTAAACATGCGTATTTATCATATCATCTCATTGTCTAAGTTTTTGTTTCTAATCATCACAAAAATAACCTCACAAAAGACTTTTATTAGTCGATTGTATTAGCGCTGGTGTCAAGACTATATACCCCAGGACAAATAGACTTATGCTAACTTGCCGCATACTAAAATACCCCAATAAAAGTTTGTAAAATGCCAACTTGCCCCATATGGCAACTTGTCTTATGCCGTTTTCTCCCATAAATAATTCTTCTATTTATTTATTTGATGATCAAATCGAGTAAAGTTTTGGACCAGCAAGTGTTAATGGTAAACTCAACTTGTTTCGTGATAAGAATACAAGCTAATTCAATATGGCTGCATCTTAATCTCAAAAATCATCTGAGCCAAAGTTGTTGTCAATTGAACGCAAAGTTTTGACAATATTCCGATATCAACGCTTTTGAAACAGAATAAACACAGAATATTTTTTTATTTCGCGAAATGGCTTAATCTTTTGTCTGCAAACGTAAAACATAGTTACTATGAGTCAAACTACGTGGGGAAACTCTCAACGAAACAAACGAACGCTCATTATTGATGGAAATGTCTTCACAAAAAAGCAAGCAACAAAAAGAACTGATAACTGGATTTGGGCACAATACAGTTAACATAAATGTTCGAATGCTTGCCGCAACAGCTGGATATGAGCAGCTGTCTAGATGCAACCATTAGCGCTATACTTTATCTATAACTTAATTGATGCATTTTTGGTGGCGATGTTGTTGCAATCCATTCAAAACTGTCTCGCTTCACACATTTATATCTCAGATTAAAACTTCGAAGAAAGTGATTATGCTCGCGGTAGTTTTTTTATTCAGACCATTTTAAAAAAAACTCTGGGCTTTAGGATAATTCATCTCTTGATCTGCATGGGGCCAGCCGATTGTGCACATCACTATAGAAACCTGCTATGAACATGGCTAAAACGGCTAGTTTTTTTTATTCCGCTCTACAGGACCGTTCCAAAATGAGCTGAGGCAGCTATTGGTTTTATTAACTTATAGTTTTGCCATTATTCAATTTACTAAAAACTATTCGAGAATAATTAAAGGCAGTCGGAACTATCAGGGCTTTGCCCTGATACTAGCAGTCTTGTTATATATTTTCCATGTCTACTGTAATTTAAAACATTCAGGTCACTTTAAAACTTTCTGAATTTGTTTAGCTTTTTAATGTTGTTTTGACTTAATAAAAATGTAGATTTAGATGCATATCGAGATGCACCGAAATGATCTGCACAATTTTTTTTAATGTATGAAACACAATCGAAAAACCCTAGTGGATCAAAGAGAATGAAGATTATCTCACAAGATATTGCACAATTTTTTTTATTGCACGCTTTTAAGTATCAAAAAATCATTTTTCAATAAGACTTTTAAAAATGTCAATTTTTAGCTATTTATCATCTTTTTTCTCAAAGACATTCAATATATAGGCGCAAGTTCCGCTCATAAATTTAATCTAACTTCTGAAAATTCTGGAAAAAAAAGATGATAAAAAAATAAAACTGATATCGTTTTTGACCTTGTGAACAGAGCTACATAATAAACTTCCGTTTCATTAACACAGCAACCACAAACTCTTATTATTATGCTTGTATTTCTGTTTAGGATATAATCAAGAACTTCTTTAATCAGTCCCACTTACGCGAACACGACACCCCTTTCAAGCCTGACAATCTCAACTTCATGTGGAACCTCACAGTTGCCAGTTACTGTCTAGGAGCTCCTTTAGGCTGTCTGTTTGGCTCCTGGATTGCAGAGAGGATTGGAAGGAAGTCTTCGCTTCTTTATCTGAACATACTTCTGGTGGTTGGGGGACTGTATCAAGTTGTCTGCTCCGAAGCGGGATTTAATCGGTATCAATTGTTTATAGCTGGACGAGTCATCAATGGTTAGTCCAAGTTATTGTCAAAGTAATTGGACGAGTCAAACTTATTGTTAAATTTGACACATAGAATTTTTGGAACGACCATTTATTCTTCTTATTTTCTAATTGAGGACCAAGTTTTAAGGTCAAGCTGACAAAAAATTATTTGCAACACTCAACCACTTAATCTAATAGTTGTAACACTTCTTGTAGAAAACCTCGTACAAAAATGAACGCCAAAAACGAAAACGATATTTTTAAATTATAATTCCAATTTAGGTTTCAAAGACGGCGCTGCTTGTGTCGTGTGTCCCATGTATCTCTCCGAAATAGCCCCGAATAAAATCCGAGGCGGCATCGGACTAATGTTCCAACTGGCAGTCGTGTTCGGTACTCTTCTCGCGTCACTTCTCGGCTGTGAAATCTGTCTCGGAACTGAAAATCGGTGGCCCTTTTTGTTTGATGTTCTACTCGGTTTTGGATGTCTGCAATGTATTCTTCTATCTCTATGTCCCGAAAGTCCTCGGTTTATTTTGATCAAGCAGGTAAAAACTTTCCAGAATTTGTTTCCCAGAAATATGGAAAATAACGAAAACATTTTGTCAAAAAATGAGAAATGAGAACATGAAAACATTTAAGAGTTTTCATCTACCTCTTGATTTTCTTTTGGATTTATTAGGGCCACTTCGATGGAATACGAGCAGGTTTTTATACCATTTAATCGGATATTGTTTTGTAAATGTTTGGGAAATAAAAATTTTTCTTGACACTGACAAAATTTTTGGGAACCTTCTAAATGTTGATCGACGCAGCGAAGATATATTTAACGTTTAAAAAACTTCCTTACACCCAAATGCATTGTTCTCCCCCACTTTCAGGGGTCAGGACAAAAAACTCAGCAGAATTAAGTTGAAAGTGACAAAGTGAAGTAAGATTAGGGGACAATATTAGATTTTTCAGGGTAATGCAGTCCTGTGTGAAAGTGAGTTGCGCCGATTGAGGGGCGATGGATGTGACTTAGCGGCAGAGATGCACGAGATCATTGACGAGGACAAGAAACTCAAGTCGGAACCGACAAGGACTCTCAAAGACTTCTTCCTCATCAGGTGTGAAAATTGTTCATCGTCACAAACGACCGTATAATATCTTCAAAAACATTTACTTTTTTTCTGGTCACTCAAAAATGAGTCACTGAAATTTTAGAACACCCTGGTTGATTTTTCAGATTAGTGCTAGGAAATTGAAGCGACACTCCATTACGCATAGCATTTTTAGTATATTTTTTTAGTGTTGAAATATTACAAGTTTTTTTGAGTTACCATTCCGGTCGATCTCTGATTTGCGCAGCGAGGCTCGGGGAAATTCACCGCACGCAGTCGACGATTTGTCGCATTTATTAAAAGCGACCATTCGCACCGCTCGACGATTCGAAGCAGGCGACGGTGGCGTCCTCTATGCTGAGGAAATCTCAAATTAGGCGAAAGAATCCAGGCCATTAAAGTCTAAATGACCGATTGCAAAATAAGGAGATTCATGAATTTTCAAATATTATGAGATCGAAGTTGCATTGGAAGAATAAAAGTAATACATCAATTACACCAGTTTTAAAAAAGTGCATAAGGTAAAAAAAATTTGTTTTATATCTGCACGAACCCCGCGCTCAAACTACCATCCCCGCGCGCACCCCCCCCCCCCCAAGCGATAAATGATAAGTGCGAGGTAGGTGAAGACTTCGGTGTCGGTGTGGTGAACTGGGACTTAGACGTGGGCTTGGTAAACTGTGGGGTTGGGAAGGGCAAAAACTGAGTAGGTTCAGATTCCGAATAGGTGGAGAATAATGCAGAAATTGTAGCAAAGTTTGCGAAGAATTTTACAAAAAACTTATAATAGTACCCCTCTTTGGTTTTTTCTGAAAATGGATCAATGAAAGCTCATTCAAAATGACTTTTTATGATTTAAGATGTAACAAAATGTGTCAGTGTGAACAATTGAACAAAATTTCGGCTCTCTTCCAGTCCCCGCTTATTTTTTTCTGAAATTCAACACATGAAAATATAAATTGCGTTAAAACATCAAAGTGAACAGGTGAACAAATTTTAACATTTCTAGCACGTAAAATGCCGTGTTAACAATTTTTGAACAACTTTGTTTTGTAATTTGACGAGAGGGTGCCCGGGTTGAGTTAACAGGAAAAATTATTGCTAATTCAGAGATATCGCAGCGAAATAGCGCTAAATTTTCAGGTATGAATCAGCCATAAATCATCCACAAATCAAGGATAGATTTTCACTGCAATAACCCTGAAGACCTATGAATCAGGGATATCTCATTCCTGGAAAATTCCTGAATAGCCACACACATACAAACATACATTGCATACCTACATTCCATACATAACATTTACCCAACTTGCAAAAATTGGATCAACCGGCAATGTTTTTAATCCGCTGGAAATCTAAAAAAAAAATTCCATTTTCAAAACTAGAAATTGTTCATGATTTTTTTTGCGGCATTCCGTATTATAGAAAATGGAAAAAAAACAGATGGAGTAATTCATCAAACGCTTGATTGATTGTTCATTTTACAGCTATCACTGCATGACAACAAAACATCCGACCACAGATCGGAAAAAAAACAAAAGCGAAAAAATCTGAAAAAAAAACAATTAAATTGTGCCAGTTATTTATTCAGATTCTAAATTTATAGCAAATATTTGAACATTATATTTAGTTCATCAAAAAATACATCACATAATTTTTACCAAAAGTGTTTTTTTTTAAATCACCGGAAGGCTGTAGTTGAATGCAGATGATTGTTGGTTCATAGTAGATTCTGGTTGACGATATTCTGGCTGATAATGGTATATAAAGAGGACGTAAAAAGATTGAGAATCAAACAAGATCTGAATTTACCCTAAACTGGGACAAACTGTAGAATAGGTCACAATAGGTCACAAAGATTAGGTCACAATTTTGTACTTGAACTGGTCATTTGTTTACCGCGATTAAGTTTGAAAAAACCGCAGCGCTATAATGCATACATACAATGCATGCATACATATATTGCAAGCATACATGCATTGCAAGCATACATGCATTGCGAGCATAAATACATTCCATGCATACGCAGCCCTATAATGTGAAATTTAAAAACAACCGCAGCACTATAATGCATGCATACTATTTCTACATTTTCGCGAAAAAAAATTTAACAATTTTAAAAATTACAAGGCATCACTTTTTTATAAAAAAAAAAGACTTTTTTTTCAAAAATTTTTACCAAAAATTGCCGCGTTTCCGGTAAATTCAGTTGCTCATTAATTTTAACCACAAAAAACTACTCATTTCTACTTTTTTGCGGAGAAAAATTTTCATTTTTAGGTTGTTTTGCGCTCATTTTTAGCTGTGCGGGGATGCATCTTTTTTTTTATAAAAAAAAAAGATTTTTTATATTTTTTACCAAAAATTGCCGCGTTTCCGGTATATTTAGTTGCTCATTTTTTTAACCACTAAAGCTTACACATTTCTACATTTTCGCAAAAAAACTGCGTTTCGAGTTTGTTTTGCGCTTATTTTTAGCTGTGGGGTGATGCATCACTTTTTTATTTAAAAAAAAAGTTTTTTTTTTAAATATTTTTTACCAAAAATTGCCGCGTTCCCGGTATTTTTAATTGCTCATTAATTTAAACCGCCAAAACTTACACATTTCTACATTTTCGCGAAAAAAAATAACTGCGTTCTCAGGTTGTTTTGTGCTTATTTTTAAGTATGGGGAATGGGGGGATGTAACACTTCTTTATAAAAAAGATTTTTTAAATAATGTTTACCAAAAATTGCCGCGTTTCCGGTAAATTCAGTTGTTCATTAATTTTAGCCACAAAAATCCTACATATTTCTACTTTTTTGCGGAGAAAAAGTTTCATTTCTAGGTTGTTTTGCGCTCATTTTTAGCTGTGGGGGAATGCATCTTTTTTTTATTAAAAAAAGATTTTTTTTAAATATTTTTCACCAAAAATTGTCGCGTTTCCGTGAAATTTAGTTGCTAATTAAACTTAACCACCAAAGCTTACACATTTCTACATTTTCGCAAAAAAAAACTGCGTTTCGAGTTTGTTTTGCGCTTATTTTTAGCTGTGGGGTGATGCATCACTTTTTTATTTAAAAAAAAAGTTTTTTTTTCAATATTTTTTACCAAAAATTGCCGCGTTCCCGGTATTTTTAATTGCTCATTAATTTAAACCGCCAAAGCTTACACATTTCTACATTTTCGCGAAAAAAAAACTCGTTCTTAGGTTGTTTTGCGCTTATTTTTAACTATGGGGAATGGGGGGATGTATCACTTCTTTATAAAAAAGATTTTTTAAATAATTTTTACCAAAAATTGCCGCGTTTCCGGTAAATTCAGTTGCTCATTAATTTTTGCCACAAAAATTCTACACATTTCTACATTTTCGCAAAAAAAACTACGTTTCGAGTTTGTTTTGCGCTTATTTTTAGCTGTGGGGTGATGCATCACTTTTTAATTTAAAAAAAAAAAAATTTTTTCAATATTTTTTACCAAAAATTGCCGCGTTTCCGGTATATTTAGTTGTTCATTTTTTTAACCACTAAAGCTTACACATTTCTACATTTTTGCAAAAAAAAATTGCGTTTCACGGTTGTTTTCAGCAGTTGGTAGCAACAATTGTTTTACTTTGATGCTAAATATGAAATTTTTGAACTTTGAAACGACACGTGACAAAACTTTGAATCTCATTCGAAATTTTAATTTTTTTTCAGCGCTGTTTCGGGGATTTTTCATGGCTAAATTATCCTTGATTATTGCTGGGAAAATTAGCCATGAAATACCCCTGAGCCATCGCTAAAAATTTCATAAAAATGGGATATGCCTGAATTAGCCATTAGTTTTTCAACAAAACTTATAACTCTGAATCAGCGATAATGTTTCCTGTCAACTTAACCCGGGTGGCAAACTGGAAAAGAGACAATCTTTCTCACATGCAAATTGACGTATGAACAAAATTTAATAAATTAATTTGTTATCTTTCGAGAGGGTTGGGAAACTGGAAAAGAGTTCCAAAATCTGGTTGCCTGCCTAAAAGCCATGTCTGTTGTGTTTAGATCTCTGCGCAAGCCCCTCATCCTGGCATGTTTCATGTCTCTGTCTCAGCAGCTGTCTGGAATCAATTCCATGGCCACTTTCTCCGGATCCATCTTCAAGGCCGCCCTCAGCTCTCAGGTGGGGATAAGTTAGTTCAGCCCCACCCACCCTCATCCATAATTAATTCAACTCCCCCCACCTCATATAAGCATCACTTTTATGGTGTAGCGAGTGGTTTTACAAAGTTGAGTATGAAAATCGAATATGTCTGTTATGGTCTTATCAATCCGTATGCCAATTTTTGAAGCAACTGAACACTGTGAGTAGGAAAATTACCTATAAAAATATGCTGGTGGGTGATAAGGAATTAGAGCCATAATTTCGTTTTCAAGTCTTTGTAAAGGGCCAGATTCTCAATTTTTGAGTGAGGTTAGTTTTTGACCCCAATTGTTTTAAGTCTTATTTCATTAAAAACTTGAATGTTTTCGTCATTCAAGGCAGTTTCAAGGCAATTTCAAGGCAGTTTCCTTGTGGACAGTCAATTTTAAAAATTACAATCTACGCCAACTATTTTAATGCCTGGGATAGCACAATTGAATCTAAAGGAGGTACGCCCACATGTGTCTCAGAGCGGAAATTTTTTTGTTAGTTCTTTGATGATGGGTGAGAAAAAATTCTCAATGTTTAAACTAAAATTAATTGATTACTTGATTACATAGCAACCTATAAGTTAGTGGTTGAATGAATTCACGTGCTGGAAGGAAGATTTTGCTGACGTTTATAAGAAAATTAGGTTGATAGATTAGGATAGCGTTTAACATTTTTCTTGGCCCATCAACAAATTATCTATTTGAGTTTTTTAAACCTGTTGGCAGTTTTCTTGGTGTACTGAGCAAGTCTAAAAGTTTGTTTACTTTGTTATCCGTAAGGAATTCATTCCAGTTGGAACAGGGTTTTCACTTCAACTTGGAAACTTAGAGACTGTTTTCACTAGTTCAAACGATGGAGCTTATTAATAAAAAAAATTTTTTTTCAAGTTTTGATTTTGAACTGTTTCGTATTGACGCGCTGTTAAAATATTTCTGAATAAGCGCTTATTTTTTGTGTTATATTAGTTTTGTTCTGTAAGGGATAATGGGTTCATTGCCGGTTCTATATTAATTGAAATATGTGAAAATATGTAAAATATTGAAAATAGAGAAAAAATTATAGATCTTATTACCAAAATTTATGCAGTAAGCAACATCAATTGCAGCAAATTGATCAAACAAAAACTTGAATCTTCAGAGAATTATTAGTAATCACTTCAGACTGCAAGATATATATTGTTTGAAATTGCAATTCCTACAAAATTCGATCTGAAATATGAGAAACTGCTCGGATTTTGGGTCGGAAGTCACTGATTGAGCCTATTGTGAACATCTACTCAGGTATTTTTTGTGGATGCGTAAGCCAAAACGCCATATCGTAATATTAGTTGCTCAAAAGTTTTGTAAGCTGTAAAAATTGCTTGGTCGAAAAAATTTCGTAGCTTATAAAATTTTTTAGCCAAAAATAAAAACGCGTTCATCAAAGCTTAGATGTCATATGTAAGAATTACAAGACAAAGGAAATAATTTTTGACTCCGTTGGCTGAAAACTTAATTTGATACTTTGTGGTTTTTATTAGTTCAAACGATGGAGCTTATTAATAAAAAAAATTTTTTTCAAGTTTTGATTTTGAACTGTTTCGTATTGACGCGCTGTTAAAATATTTCTGAATATGCGCTTATTTTTTGTGTTATATTAGTTTTGTTCTGTAAGGGATAATGGGTTCATTGCCGGTTCTATATTAATTGAAATATGTGAAAATATGTAAAATATTGAAAATAGAGAAAAAATTATAGATCTTATTACCAAAATTTATGCAGTAAGCAACATCAATTGCAGCAAATTGATCAAACAAAAACTTGAATCTTTAGAGAATTATTAGTAATCACTTCAGACTGCAAGATATATATTGTTTGAAATTGCAATTCCTACAAAATTCGATCTGAAATATGAGAAACTGCTCGGATTTTGGGTCGGAAGTCACTGATTGAGCCTATTGTGAACATCTACTCAGGTATTTTTTGTGGATGCGTAAGCCAAAACGCCATATCGTAATATTAGTTGCTCAAAAGTTTTGTAAGCTGTAAAAATTGTTTGGTCGAAAAAATTTCGTAGCTTATAAAATTTTTTAGCCAAAAATAAAAACGCGTTCATCAAAGCTTAGATGTCATATGTAAGAATTACAAGACAAAGGAAATAATTTTTGACTCCGTTGGCTGAAAACTTAATTTGATACTTTGTGGTTTTTATTAGTTCAAACGATGGAGCTTATTAATAAAAAATTTTTTTTTCAAGTTTTGATTTTGAACTGTTTCGTATTGACGCGCTGTTAAAATATTTCTGAAAATGCGCTTATTTTTTGTGTTATATTAGTTTTGTTCTGTAAGGGATAATGGGTTCATTGCCGGTTCTATATTAATTGAAATATGTGAAAATATGTAAAATATTGAAAATAGAGAAAAAATTATAGATCTTATTACCAAAATTTATGCAGTAAGCAACATCAATTGCAGCAAATTGATCAAACAAAAACTTGAATCTTTAGAGAATTATTAGTAATCACTTCAGACTGCAAGATATATATTGTTTGAAATTGCAATTCCTACAAAATTCGATCTGAAATATGAGAAACTGCTCGGATTTTGGGTCGGAAGTCACTGATTGAGCCTATTGTGAACATCTACTCAGGTATTTTTTGTGGATGCGTAAGCCAAAACGCCATATCGTAATATTAGTTGCTCAAAAGTTTTGTAAGCTGTAAAAATTGCTTGGTCGAAAAAATTTTTGACTCCGTTGGCTGAAAACTTAATTTGATACTTTGTGGTTTTTATTTTTTCCGCTTCTTTTTGCTGAAATTAAAGTTTGATGCTAGGTTGTTATGTTAAAACCATTCGGCTGTTTTGTTCAAAGCAGCTTGGTGTTTAGCTTGCACAGTTATCAACCTTGAAAATGTCCTAGTTAGAACATGGTGTGCTTATAGTATAGATTTTGCGTTTTCCTGATTTGAGTTGATATGATTCATAAAATTTATGAAAAGCAGTGGACCATGAATAGAACCTTGAAAAAAACCAAAACGAACCCCCCTCAGTTTTGAGTGTGCAGGTTAAGTGGCTACTAAGAGCTTTCTATGACTTAAATAAAGACTTAATTACTGATCATTGAAAACTCTTAGCCCTTAGGTCTCGCTTTATTTTGAACAAGAGTAAGTGATCCGCTATATCCAACGCCTTAAAATCAGTAAATGTGTTTTGTGTCAGTTTTGTTTGATGGTCAAAACTGACTCAATGTATGAATAGTTTTATTTGTTGATAGGTTCAGAAGAAAAGTGACCTAAAGAACTACATGGTGGTGGCGATGTGGGGTGTCAGTTTCCTCTTCACCCTAGTTGCAGTTCCCTTAGTTGACAGGGCAGGGCGCAAGGTCTCTCATCTCACAGGTACAACATCAGTTCTATTGTTTCTTTTTCCCCACTTGCGATTTTTTATAATCAAAATTTCTGATCACATTGTGTGAAAAATTGTACGAAAATCAGCATTCTGACTTATTGGGCTATGGCAAACAAATTTGGTCTTCATACTCAGCTTTGTATAACCCCACGTAACACCATACCATAAACTTGATGCTTATGTCAGGAGAGAGGAAAAGGAAAAAGGACCAAGAGCCAAGTCCCTATTCGACTTCCACAAAATTTTAGAGGTTCCGCACGAAACAACCCAATTTTTTATACAAAACTCCTTTTCTAAAAAAGTTACCAACCGGATTTCCCGAATTCTTTGTAAAAAATGCTCCTTTTCGACGAAAGTTTCAACCGTAGGAGAATACAGAAAATCACTTTGTTTCAGCCATCAAAAATCGAACTCAATGATTTTTCCTTCTCGTGAAAACATAAGATCAGCCCCGTGAACATGGTTAATGACAGACTTATAGTCGAATATTGAACAGCTATGGAAATTGAAATTGGGGCTCTTATCGTGTCCATCCCATCCCTCCTCCCCCTTCTATAATAATCAGCCAGTTTCCAGTTTCCCACCCCCTTGTAAGACTCCAGTAAAAAAAATTGTTTAAAAATTGTTTATATTGTAATAAGAAATGTTATACAAAATTTTTTCACTTTTGCACGCACGTTTTATTGTTGATTACAAAAATGTCATTTTAAACAGGCTTTTGAAAATCAACTATCAGGAAAAACCAAAAGGTGGATTTGAAAAAAGTCAAATTTGTTTTTGTCCAGGTCTCATTGGAATGACTGCATGCAGCTTGGTAGTGTCATTTTTACTCAGCGACCTGCGAACTTCAGACGACCAAAACTGCCCTGGCATCAATCTGGACAAATACCCCTGGACAAACTACCTCTCAGTAACCCTTCTCTTCATCTACCTTATCTTCTTCGCCATTGGACCCAGTTGCGTACCGTGGATGCTGACTCCGGAACTATTCACAGTCGGGACAGTATCCACCGCGGCTTCAATCGCTGGAATCGTAAACTGGCTTGCCAACTTTTCAGTCCAGTTTGGGTTTGGAACTTTACTGGATTACTTATGCGGCTGGGTGTTCTTAATTTTCGTCGGGTTCATGTCGTTTTTTATTGTGTATTTGAAAATACATCTACCTGAGACAAAAGGGATGGCGATAACTGAAATTGTAGCACTTTTTGAATGATCACGTGATGCTATCCTGTAATCAAATTTATGTAAGTTGGGCACTCAAAAATTATTATGATATCTAATGATGACTTCGAAAGAAACTAGCTTAGATAATTTATCATTGAAACTGTCTTAGTTTTAATTTCTTAACATAATAAGGCTCTCATATGGTGTTTTTTCCGCTTTATTAGGACGCTGCCATTTTTTAAGGTTTCATGAATATGCTGGAGCGGATTAAGGGGGGCGGGGAGGGGATGGAGAACCCTTCTCATCAGGGAGCCGACCCACTGCCAAACAAAAGGGTCCACCTTTGTACTAATTTGAGATATCCATTTTTGTTGACAGAACCTAAAAGTTTTCTTATGGCGCCTCTGGGCCTAATTTTGAGAGAGGAGCGCGCGCCAAAAAAAAAACACTTTTGGACTTGTTTTGGTCAAAAATTTCCAAAAAATGCCTAAAAACAACCATTTTGACTTGTTTTTCAAATATTTTGCCAGAAATTTTGCCCAAAACAGGGTCTTTTTTAGTCCTTTGGGAGAGCTTGGAAAATCAATTTGGTCGACCTAAAAAGAATTGACGAAATTTTCAAAAATTCCCCCCCCCCTCGAGAAAATTCTAGTTCCGCCCCTGATTTAAACCTATTAGGAAGAGGAACATTTTTAAATTTTAAACTGTTTTTCTTGCTGTTTGCTTGGAGCCAGAAATTAGCTTTTAGTTAGCCCGAAATTTCAATTAAATTATCAAAAACAATATTTGTTTTCTTAAGGTTATGTTGATTTATCCACTCGAGATACGAGCTGTATTAAGGAAAGCTGTAGTAACAAACCTAAGAACTAAATTTATTTTCTTTTTTTCTTTTCTGAGCCAATAATTGTTGCTTCAAACTGCACGCAACAAACACGATCATGATTGGCCTCCAAGCACCTAGTTTTCTCCTGAGAACCTAGTCATTTCAAGGTCGCCTCTGTGACAATCAAATTCAGCAATGCGAGTAATAAATTTGTGTTTTTTGGTCTTTTTTAATCAAACTTAAGCAGGAGCGGATTTAGGGGGGGGGGGGGGGGTCGGACGCCTCCTTTCTTCAAGGATTCCATTCTGTGCTGACACAAAGAGTCCCCGTTTAAACCATTTTAAGAAATCCATTTTGAATTACCGGCCCTAAAACTTTTCTAGAGGGGCCTTTGGTGCCAATAAATACTAATTTTGAGGAGCGAGCGCCAGACAAAACACGGTTGTTTGTCAAAATTTTCCAAAAAGTGCTCAAAAACGGCGTTCTTGAACTGTTTTCATTTTCGGAAATTTGCTTGCGGAGCAAAGTTTTTTGTCTAAATACGGTCTTCTCGTCTTATGGGAGCACTCGGAAGTTCAATTTGGCCGACCTTAGAAAAAAGTCAACAAAGTTTTCAAAAAATTCATGGAAATCCACCCCTCCTCGAGAAAATCTTGGATCCGCCCCTGTGTATATGTGAATATCGTCTATTTTCGAAACATCATTCCATTACATCAACAATTGATTTTATCAGTATGTGCGCCTCAATCTCCACGGATTGTAAAAATATCGGGTTTCAACAATTTAATTCGAGCATTTTATCGGCAAAATAACTCGGTAACAATAATACTCAATTTATCGGTAAGAATGATATTTTTACCAAACTTTTGTATTGTTAACATCGGTCACATCGGCACAAAAAACTCCATAACTCAAAGCAAGTTGCAAAAATGGCCAGTATTTGTCCTTGAGACAAATTGCTCTTTTTAAAGGTCAGCCTTAATCAAGGCTGAACCAAATTAGAGCGAAAAGACGGTTAAAATCGGTTTTGGGGGGGGGGGGACCGAACCTGGTTACGGAGCATCCCATCAGGTTCGGTGCACATTCGAGTTCTAGACAGGAAATGACCTAGTCGGGATTCGAACCGGCGCCGAACCCGCCGGGACGCACCATGTATACGCTTGGATACTGTCCCTGTATGCATTTACTTTTATATGCATTTATACTCTCGCACATTTACGTTTATATGCATTTGTACTATTGTTTTATATTTGCGCTGCAACATCCTCCACCCCTAAACAAGGAAGAACGGGAGCGAGCTTTACGGTCGGGCGAATCAGTTCGCTCGTAACGGTCTTTATGTCGGCGGATCGCGCGCATCCGTCTTTGCCGTAGTGTAGTTTAGCAATACGGGCGAGTGGGTAATGCCCACGTGGGCTGTCGGGTTCGACTACCCAAACCAAGTCTCCGGTTTTCAGTGTGACATCCGAATCATTATGCCACTTTGCTCTCTTGTTGAGAGATGGTACATATTCACGCAGCCAGCGTGACCAAACTGCGTTAGCGTACGATTGTGCTCTGGCGTAACGCTTTTTATGATCAAAGTTATCTTCGAAACTTAACGACGGGAAGCTAGCTGCGCTGTGACCGAGAATGAAGTGATTCGGGGTGAGTGCCTCTAGGTCGTGCGGATCGGAACTGACCGGAGTGATCGGTCTTGCGTTAAGTAATTGTTCAACTAGGCAGAGCGTTGTTCCTAGAACTTCCTCAGTTAATCTCCTGCTGCCTAATATGTCGTACAACACTCGCTTAACACTTCTCACTAGCCGCTCCCAGGCGCCACCGTGATGAGGGGCACTGGGCGGGTTAAACTTCCACTTAACGCCTTTGTGGACGAAAACGGCCGGGGCGACTTTGTTCCAATTTTGGACACAGGATAGGAGCTCCTTTTGAGCACCAACAAAATTCGTGCCATTGTCAGAAAGAATGGTTTTGGGGGTACCTCGACTTGCAATAAATCGCTCTACGCCCATGACGCAGGAACTAGTATCGAGAGATGGAACCAACTCGATGTGAACTGCTCGAGTCGTGAGGCAGGTAAATAGGAAACCCCATCTCTTTTCGGTACTTCGGCGTATTGGCACTTGAAACGGGCCAAAGTAATCAACACCTGTGTTGGAGAAGGGAGGCTGCTTGTAACCCAGTCTTTCAATCGGTAGGTCAGACATAATGGGCACAACTGTTTTTGCTTTGCGCTTACGGCATGTTATGCAAGTATTTTCGATGTTCCCAAGTAACCAGCGCAACTTCAGAACAATGTATTTCAACTGAACTACAGCACGCATGTAATCCAACCCCTGATGTGCATGTTGAAAGTGCATATGCCTAACCAACATATGAGCAACTCGGTGTCGACCATCCAGTATTATTGGATGTTTGCTATCAAAGTCGGTATCAACAAGACGGCTGATACGTCCAGTTGAACGCAGGATGCCAGCTGGGCCGATGAACGGAGAATATTTAGCAATCCGACTTTTCTTTGCTATCCGTTTATCGGACTGAAGTATTTTCACTTCGGCAGGAAATGATTCGGACTGAGCGAGATAAATGAGCTTCTGCTCGGCAATATCTAACTCGGACGGGTCGGTTATTTCCAGCGTTTTTGTACGGAAGTGTTTATGCGATGGTAGCACACGAAGCATAAATGCTAAAACACGTTTGTACTTTACAATTGAGCTGAATTTATCCCAATTTTTAAACAGACGGATCGACGGCGCTTTCTCAGATGAAGCATCAACAACAAACGTAGATGCAGTCTCAAGGCATGTATCAATGTCACAGAGTGGGCCTTTTAATTGGATCTTTTTGATGACAGCAGTGTTCGGCTTGAATGGCCAATCACATGTCCTCAATATACTAGGGCCTCTAACCCAGCTGCTATCCTTGAGGGCTTCCGAAGAAATCCCTCGTGTGCCGGTATCAGCTGGGTTATCACCACTGAGTACATGATTCCATTGATCAATGGTGGTGGACTCCAAGATTTCACCAGTGCGGTTTCCAACAAACACAGGAAGTTTGTTGCACGAGTTAAGCCACTGGAGAACGGTGGTAGAATCAGTCCACATGAATACATTTCTTACTTTGAAAGTAAGCGCTTTCAAAATCTCTTCTTTGAGTCGAGTCGCAAGCAGAGCAGCCTGAAGCTCTAACTTGGGAATGGAGAGCATCTTCATAGGCGCTACACGGGCTTTCCCAAATACAAAAGCTAACTCGGTCTTTTGCGATTTAGCAAGTCGGGCTCGGAGAAACGATACGGCGCAAAAACGTCCTGCGAACTATCACCGAACGTGTGAAGTTCACAGCGGTCGAACGGTTCGGTAAAGTAGCTACGAGGTATCGTCAGAGTACCTAATAGTGGAAGTCCTGAGTGCCAATCTAGAAATTGTTGTTTAATTTCCTCTGGGAGATCATCATCCCACTTTTGACCACTGATTCTCCATATGTCTTTTAGTAAAAGGCGCGCTTTCACAGTATATGGAGCTACCAGTCCTATTGGATCAAAAACTGAGGAAACAAAACTCAACACGGTGCGTTGAGTAATTGCTTTATCTAGTGGTCGATCAACACCTCTACTTACTACTAGGGTATCTTTTACATGATCCCACCTGAGACCAAGAACATGCGACGATTGGTCTGGACTCTTACAAATATCCTTAACTGACGGGTTGGACTCACGGTTGTCCGGATTAAGAGCTGTTGTAACTTCGGGTACATTGCTAACAAACTTTGTCAGGTTAAACCCACCTAATTTGAGCATTGCGACTAAGTCTTTACTTAGGCTAAGAGCGTCAGCGGTATTTTCGAACGAGTCAAGATAGTCGTCCATGTAAAACTTCTGGACAACGGCTGAAGCGGCTTCGGGGTATTCAGCTTGATTATCAGAAGCAGTTTTTTGTAGCGCGAAATTCGCACAAGTTGGCGAATCACGAGCGCCAAAAATATGACGGGTGTATTGGTGAACCACCACACTTGAAGTGGGGTCCTCCCGCCACAAAAAACGGAGAGACGGTTGATCTCGCGCAAGTACTCCAACTTGTAAGAACATACCTTCTATGTCCGCTGAAACGGCGTACTTGTGTTGACGGAACCTCAACAGTACAAAAATAAGATTTTGAAGGAGATCCGGGCCAACCAAGAGAGATCTATTTAAGGAAGTGCCATGAAATTTGGATGCTCCATTGAGCACACGGCGCACCTTGCCGGGTTTGTTCGGGTTCAAAACCGGATGGTGTGGAAGATACCACTCACGTTCGGCTCGTGAGCTGGGATCGTGCGGGTTGACGGTTATGACATATCCTTTACTTATATCTTCTCTGATTGTTTCGGTATAATTCTCGCGAAGTAACGGATCTCTATCTAATCTTTTCTCTAACGAATTTAATTGGGCTAATGAAGAATAATAATTGTTAGGCAAGCTAACATCATTATCACTCCACAGCATCGGTACAGTGTAACGCTCACCATCGTGAACGGTTTCAGTTTTTAGGATCGACAAAGCACGCTTGTCTGCGGCGGAACGGGCATCTACTTGCTTGAACGCACCATACGACTCTAACTCATACCAAGTTTTGATTTGGTCGGTCAGAGAAGTATCGTCCGTGACGCAGTTAAAGGAAGAAGAATTTAAGGACGAACGATCAGGAGACGGACCACTAATGACCCAACCTATCGGAAGTCGGACGGCGCACGGTGAGT